TGCACCAGGTTTTCGTTGTAGCCGTTGCGTTCTTCGGTGGCGAGGGTGGGGTCTCGTGTGATGAGTTGCCGAAACATCGATATGAGCAGCCGCAGGTACTCGGTGGGAGGCGGACGCAGCAGATCGGGCAGCTCCATCACCATGAGTGCGTCTGGTGGGCGCATGTCGATGCCTTGCCGAGCCGTCAGGATGTCGAAGGCCGTCTGATTGCCATACGCAATCGCCACTCGGAGGGGCGTCTCCCAGGTCTCCCCGGTCTCGTCGGCTGCCACATTGGGGTCGGCTCCTCCGTCGTAGAGTGCGGTCAGGACGGCCCTCTGCAGCTCGTCAGACGACCACTGGGGCAGGGCGACGGGACGGCAAAATGGACCCTCATCATCATCTGCTTGGATGGTCTCGACGGTGTAGCCCGACTTGTCGTCAATGGCGAGACACAACAGCAAGTAGCCAATGCCAGAACACCCCCTGCCCTTTCTCCTCAGCCGAAAGATGACATTCGGGTCGGCATCCAGCCGAATGTCGGCATTCTGCTGGATGAGACGTGTCACTTGCTGAGGGCTGGTGATGGTGCGGCCGATGATGCCCAGTGTCAGCTCCTTGGTGGCCTCGTTGGTGCCGTGGGGGAATCGAACTTCGATGTCATCGGCTCCCACACATCCATCAGGCACCTCCACCGTGGCGGCCACCGGCACAGGATGGCCTGCAACACACACACACAGAGCCACCACACGACACACACAGTGAAGGAATGTGTGTGCGGATCACATTTTTTCGCCTCTGTCTGTCTGTCTGTCTGTCTGGCGTACCGTCCTCCTCATAGCCGTCGTCTTCATCGCTCTCCTCGTCGAAGTCGTCGCCCAGCGGCCCACCGTCACCACTGTCGTCCTGTACACCGTCCTGCCACAACAAAGGGAAAGAGTGAGAAAGACTGCTGACGCTCGTCGCATTGGGCGGCTGGTGCTGTCAATGAGTGACCCACCGATTCGGATTCGCTGTGAGCTGCCGCCTGTAGACCTTCTCCCTCCTCCTCGGCCATCTCGCCATCGTCCTCACGCAATAACTCTAAAACGAAGGCACACCAACACATTCGCCAGCAAAGCAAAAATGATTATGCCACTGGTGTGTTGATCAGTCTGTGTGGCGTGCTGTTGACTCACCACTGGCAGTAACATTGTCGTCTTGCCCGTCTGGCTGCCCGCCGCCATTGTTATCCTCCTCAGCCACATCGTCTGCACACACCATCGAGGAGACACACACACACACGTGTGGCGCTGATGCTGTGTGTTTGATGTGTCACATTCATCTGTGTGTGGCGTACCCGCATCGCCACCGCCACCGTCCGCCATGGCAGCGGAGGCCATGTGGCTGTCGTCGTGACACTCAGACATCTCCCTCACTGAAACAGACACCAACAGCTGCACCGACCACACACACACAGAGAGGCGACAAGAGATGGGCAGACACCTGCTGCATGTGTCGTGTGTGTGCTCGCCCACCTAGCTATGAGTCAAATGGTACAAAAGCGTTCAAACAAGCCGCTCCGTCGACAAGGCAGACCTGCACAGAGGCCGCGGTGTCCAGAGAAAGCAACCTGTGTTTCAACCAGGCAAGCGGTCTGAATCTGATGGTAGACAGGATGTATGCGAAATAGACAAACACAGCCTGTAGCCTGTCTTCGCACACACACGGAGAGAGAGAGAGCGGTGGTCACGGAATGTCAAAGGTGGCCCGAGGGCCTGGTCCTGTGTCTTTCACGCACAATCAAACGAACGACACGCAACAGGAATCACCCACGCACGCTCCACATGCACTGACCGAATCATCTCAAATCTAGAGGGTTAGGGTTTGAACCCTCCACCCTAGGGCGAGCTGAGAAACGCGCGGGGAGCGTTTGGGATCACCGCCAGTGGAGCCCAGGCGACCTCAATACGCCACGGGCGTCCCCCAGCTTCCGTCTCATCGTGATTCGTGAGTCCAGGGCGGCAGATCTGCTAAAGTTATTATCTGTGTGAGGTGAGGGCCCGTCCGAAGAGGACAGGACACAAGAGGGTACGTGGGCAGGCGGAAAAGAGCAAGAGCGTCCTCGGTGGAGGAAGGGCCCTCATTCCTCCTTGTGTGCGTGTCACTGTCAGGTCGTCGAAGAGGTAGCAGGACTATCTCTCTGTGTGCACACCGAGCCCCACTCATGGCCGCACGACAAGCAGCAGCTCAGCAGCAGCAGGAGGTCGCCGCGGAGCCCCCGATGGACGAGCCTGACGGTGACGAGCCTGACGGTAAGCACCGAACGCTGCAGCAGTTGATTTGGGTCGATGTGTGTGCCTGTGGTTGATTGTGTTCAGATGAGGACAATGAGGAGGGGGGTGGCGGTGTGATGGCCAATGGGAGCGAATCGGTGAGGCATTCATTCGCGAACACAGCGTCCGTCCATGTGACGCTCGTCACTTGGCTGTTCTCCCGTTGCCTCGTGTCGCTGTGTCAGGGCGGTCACACATGTGTGCAGGACGACAGTGACGACGGAGGGATGCTGGACGAAGACTTAGACCAAGACGATGACGACGGGGACAGTGAGGGGGACGACGGCAGTGAGTCAGGCAGCGACGGTCATGACGATGGCTATGAGGACGATGGTACGCCAGACAGACTGACACATGAGAGGGAGGGGGCGAGGTGCGGGCCCATACATGCATTCCTTCTCAGTGTGCGTCGTCTGATGGCTGTGTGTGTTGTAGGTCACTCGGTGGTGCCAATCACCTCGGTCGACGTGCCGTCCGGCTTCTTGGGCGTCAATGAGATCGAGGCCCGCTTCCCTCTCGGCACCAACGAGACCACCAAGGAGCTGGGATTGGGCGTCATCGGCCGCACCATCTCCGCCCCGCAGCACGTGACCGACCTCATCGAGCAGGGTGCCGACCCGAATGTCGGGCCGATGCTGCGGCAGAAGGGCAGCAAGCATCGTGGCGATCTCTCCTCGCTGGTCCATCTCGCCATCGACAACAAGTCGGACTACACCGTCAAGACCATCCAAGCCGAAGCCGATGATGCTTGCCGTCCCGTCGCCTTGCCCCACTGGTCGTCGGACGAGTTGCAGAGGGCAATCATTGCCACACCCCTCGACGGGGGCGCCGACCCCAATGCGGCAGCCGACGAGACCGAACAGACGCCCCTTCACTTGGCGATTGCATCCGGCAATCAGACGGCCTTCGACACCCTGACGGCTCCTCGTCAAGATGTCGACCTGCGCCCACCAGACGCACCCATGGTGATGGAGCTGCCCCGTCCCCTGCGTCAGCCTCCCACCGAGTACCTGCGGCTGCTCATGTCGATGTATCGGCGACTCATCGAACGAGACCCCACACTCGCCACCGAACGAGACGTCTGGGGCACCAACTTGGTGCACCACGCAGCCATGAACGCACGCGGCCACTACCCCCAGTCCTTCATCGTCGGCTACCTGGATCTCATCACGCAGCTCGGAGCCGACATGACGGCAGCCGACGGCAACGGATGGACGCTACTGCGCTGGGCAGCAGAGTGGGGCTCTCCCAAGGTGGCCGACTACCTTTGCCGCAAGCTGCCCGCTGACCAGGTCAACAGACGGGACAACCAAGGTCAGACGCCCCTCGCCAAGGCTGCCGAGGAGCTCGATCACAACATCCAACGGCTGCAGCACCCCAACACACCCGAGGCCGACAAGGAACGGCATCGAGCCAAGATTGACAACCTCAAGCTGACCATCCACAGCCTGCTGAGGGCGGGGGCCGACATCAGCAGCACCCCCACAGACACAGAGGAGGACCGCCATCAGCGCCAGTTGGTGCTCACTGAGTACGCCACGGTGCTCAACGAGCTGCCCGCTGGCGTCATGGCGGCCGTCAACGCCGCCCTCGCCCCCCACCGCTCCCTCGCTGCCCTCCTGATCCCCCGGCTGGTCGTCGGCCCGCAGGAGGCCGCCATCTTCGGCTGGCGCATCGCGTCATACCTCTTCGACATGAATGCCGCCCAGGAGGCCATCAGTGAGGCTATCGGTGTGCGGCACACCGACATGGCCCGCCGTGTGTGTGCGGCAGCGGAGCACTTTGTCAAGTCGGCAGTGTACCAGGCCAGCAGCAACAGGGAGGTGGTGGGCGGAACGAGGTATGAGCAGCAGGGCGACAAGCGTTTCAAGGTGACGGTGCCGCAGCTGCAGTGCTTCATGCTCGAGGGTGTCGACAGCCGTCCGTCTGAGGCGGTGCACACTCGTGGTCGTGTCGGTTTGCGTGAGGTGGTACATCGGGCCGTTTTGGACGAGGCGGCCAAGTGGGGGGTGCAGGGTGTGGTGGTCAAGGGCTTCAACACCCACCTGGGGGATGCCGACTGCCAGTTCACATGGCAGCAGCTGGGGGCCGCACTCCAGCAGTCCACCACACCACCACCAGCAACACCAGCGCCAGCATCGACCCAGCAGCCCACACCATCGACCCAGCAGCCCACACCACCACCAGCGGCAGCAGCAGCGGCGGCTAGCGGGTGTGAGGATGCAGTCGATGGCGACAAGGACAGCTGGGAGGAGGTCAGTGGCGATGATGAAATGGATGATGAAGTGGAGGAGTAGGTAGTGCTGGGATGGTCTGTGGTGCGACGTGGCGTGGCTGAGTCTGATTGACGCCTGTGGGGTGCGGCGGGGGTGACGACAAGGGACCCGGTGGGGGAGAGGGAGAGGGAGGTACTCATGTGGCTGTCGCTCACAGACAGCTGGGTGTGGGTGGCTGGGTCATGGGTCAGGCAGATTCTTCGCTCGGTGTGCAGTGTTGGTTGGTGTGATGGTGTCCTATGACGTGTGGGTGGCTGGGGGCGGCAGCCGCCAAAGTGTTTCTCGAAGGACACACACACACACACACAGGGAGAGAGAGAGAGGGAGATCTTTTTGGTTGCATCATGTTCTCGTCCGTCCAAGCAGCACTGACTGAGTTGAGTTTTATGTCCGCTCCACCCGCTCCATGTGCTGGCGGGCCGTGAATGCATTGCATGTCACGCGAATGTCGGATCAACGAACTGCGTATACGTACCGTGGCCTGACGTGACGTGACGTTTGCCGCCGCGAGTGGAAGCTTAAGTACCGGTCTGTCTGTGTGGCCGCTTAAGCCTGCCTGCCTGCGTCTGAGTGTTTTGTAGTGGTGTGCGGCACAGCGACATGGCCCGGCGTGTGTGTGCGGCAGCGGAGCACTTTGTCAAGGCTTCAGCAAGGATGTGCCTGCGGTGGTGTGGGGGGTGGTGGGGTGGGTCGACAAGGGGCGGGACGGGAGGGAGACATTCAGGTCGCTGCAGCTCACATGAGATGCTCACAGAGAGGTAGGCAGGTTGGGGGGATTTTGATGTGAGGATGGATGGTTGTTGGTGCCTGACCCACTCGACTGCTTCCCTGTCGCCGGGCCCTGGCATGTCTGACTGGACGGCTCGACACATAGGGTGGGGTGGATGGAAGGTCGGCAGATGGAGAGCTTTCACCCTCATGTGTTCACTGACGCATCCACTGAGGTGCCATGTGAACGAACGAATGGGGTGGGGGGCCTGTCACGCGAGTAGACCATGCAGCCGGACCGGTGCTTTATCGGTGCTCGAACTCGTTGTGTGTGGCTGCTGCTGCTATTGCCTCGGTGTGTGGGTGTGTGTTGATGGCTGACTTTTCGTGTGAGAGATTTCGTGTGGACGAATGGTTTCGTTGACCAGAGTGTCCTGGCATTCAATTCAAAGTGGTGATGTTGTGAGAACCAGAGCTGTACCAACCATTCGTCCACACACACACACACACACGCGTGTCAGAAGCACTCACACAAGTACAAAACACATCGAGCAAAGTGAGGCAGCGACAACGATCTATCCATCCAACACGCTATGCCCCCTGCCTGTCTGCCACCCAAACCTGTCCATGTGTGCATCTCATCTCATGTCATCCCCAGCCGTCTGAAGGTCTCCCTGCCGTCCCGCCCCTTGTCGACCCACCCCACCGCTCCCCATGCCACCGCAGGCACATCCTTGCTGAAGCCGTTGTCGATCTCCCCCGCCAGCCCCCACTTGGCCGCCTCGTCCAGGATGGCCCGCTGCACCACCTCACGCAACTCCATCTTGCGGCCACCCACACCGCCCACCACAAAGCACTGCAGCTGCGGCACACGCACCACCTGGCCGCCCACATTGGCCGTCCCGCCCACCACCTCCCTGTTGCTGCTGGCCTGGTACACCGCCGAATGGATGAAGTGCTCTGCTGCCGCACACACACGGCGGGCCATGTCGCTGTGCCGCACACCGATGGCCTCACCGATGGCCTCCTTGGCGACAGCGATGTCGAAGAGGTATGACGCGATGCGCCAGCCGAAGATGGGGGCCTCCTGCGGGCCGACGGCCAGCCGGGGGGTCAGGAGGGCCGCGAGGGAGCGGTGGGGGGCGAGGGCGGCGTTGACGGCCGCCATCACAGCAGTGGGCAGCTCGTTGAGCACCGTGGCATACTCCGTCAGCGCCAGCTGGCGCTGATGGCGGCCCTTCTCTGTGGCCGTGGGGATGCTGCTGATGTCGGCCCCCGTCCGCAGCAGGGTGCGGATGATCAGCTTGAGGTTGGGAATCTCGGTCCGATACCGCTCCTTGTCGGCCTCTGGTGTGTTGGGGTCCTGCAGCCGTTGGATGCGCCAATCGAGCTCCTTGGCAGCCCAGGAGAGGGGCGTCCGGCCGGAGTTGTCCCATCTGTTGATCTGGGCAGCGGGCAGCTTGCGGCAGAGGTAGTCGGCCACGTGGAGAGAGCCATACCACGCTGCCGCCAGGTGCAATGGCGTCTGCCCAAAGCGGTCGTCTGCCGTCATGTCGGCCCCATTCGCCGTGACGAGGTCCAGGTAGCTGTCGATGAAGGACTGCGGGTAGTGGACCACCTCGGCTGCCAGGTGCACCAGGTTTTCGTTGTAGCCGTTGCGTTCTTCGGTGGCGAGGGTGGGGTCTCGTGTGATGAGTTGCCGAAACATCGATATGAGCAGCCGCAGGTACTCGGTGGGAGGCGGACGCAGCAGATCGGGCAGCTCCATCACCATGAGTGCGTCTGGTGGGCGCATGTCGATGCCTTGCCGAGCCGTCAGGATGTCGAAGGCCGTCTGATTGCCATACGCAATCGCCACTCGGAGGGGCGTCTCCCAGGTCTCCCCGGTCTCGTCGGCTGCCACATTGGGGTCGGCTCCTCCGTCGTAGAGTGCGGTCAGGACGGCCCTCTGCAGCTCGTCAGACGACCACTGGGGCAGGGCGACGGGACGGCAAAATGGACCCTCATCATCATCTGCTTGGATGGTCTCGACGGTGTAGCCCGACTTGTCGTCAATGGCGAGACACAACAGCAAGTAGCCAATGCCAGAACACCCCCTGCCCTTTCTCCTCAGCCGAAAGATGACATTCGGGTCGGCATCCAGCCGAATGTCGGCATTCTGCTGGATGAGACGTGTCACTTGCTGAGGGCTGGTGATGGTGCGGCCGATGATGCCCAGTGTCAGCTCCTTGGTGGCCTCGTTGGTG